GAGTAGTACAAATCCATGTGGTGCAATGCCAAGTGAACGTTTTGGTGTAAACCCTTCCTAGCTCCATAAAGGCTTTGTTGAATAATGCCTACAACTGGGATGCCCTTCACACAGGGTCCATGAAATTGGGCTGGCTGGGAACATGTCACTATAGACTGGGAAAAAGACTGAGGCAGCTGAAGACAGCTTGGCAGTACTGGTACAGGTTGCACCCCCTATGTGATGTCACCCCCCCAACTGAGCTCCACTCTAGCCTCTCACACTTGGAAGGTTTCATGCACTGTAGGTCCCTCTTGATGAATTTTTCTGCTCTGACCTCACTGCCCTGGAGGCATGAGAATATTGCATCTTCAAGATGCCAGGCCTGGGGGGCAAGGGGGTAGGGGAAACCAACTGCCTCTTTCCCACATTTCCAGGCCAAGTGCTGGGAGTGGTACCCAGTTGCACTTTCCCACTGGCACTCCATTTATTTCACATTTCAAAGGGATCCCAACTACTCACCAAGGTACTCCAAATCAAAGGTTTGGGGCTCCTCCCTATGTCTGAAACACACTAGTTCTTAAAAGAATCAAGGGTCCCTTGAACACATCCTTTCAGAATCTCTCCCCACATGACCCTCCTGACATACCCCCTTCTCATACGACAGGGATCCAAGGTAAGAAGACAAAACAGCTTCCTTCTCCCACTGGTGAACTGGGCACTTAGCACTTTTAGAAAAATGCAAACACTGGGCATTTCCAATCCTGAGCATTCAGAAATTAGACTTGTGGGCAGCTAAGTCCCTGTTCACTAACAAAAATTCAGTTTTGAAAACTGCCTTTCATAGTACAGAAATCATTGTGGGGCACACAGATGCCACTCAATGAAACAATTTAGATCCATACAGCACAGAAGAGCGATAGCGACATCTCATAATGAACTCTTCAGCAATAACCTTTTTCTTTCCTTCTAACGAGCTCACGGGGCTTTGCTCCAAAGTTCTTCAGTGTCTCGAAGTGTACTAATTCACCATTACTTTCTCATGCTCATGTTCTAACAGAACCGAGGATTCACTGGAGATTTTAATCCTGTTCTCAGCTCTTCCTGCCAAGAGACGTTCAGATACAGCTGTTTGGTGCCAAAACAATTGAATTGCTTTGCTGTAGGATCAACAACTTGAGATGATCTCACCAGAGCATTATCCATGGAAGCCATGAGATGGCTGCCTCTTTCCCACCGTGCAGCTGGGTCCCAAGCTGCTGACAGTAGAGTGAAGCCAGGGGGAAGTTGAGGCCAGGCAGAAAAAGGGTGTTTCACTATGATTAGTCCAAACAAATGTTTTTTTTTGTTTGTTTTTTTGTTTTTTTTCCACGTATTCACTCTTTGCTGGAATTTGTCCCTCTTCTCCACACCCGGACCAACACACTGTCACTTCTGATAAGTGGGAGTTAACTATCTTCTCTACTTAAAATCTGTGAAAATGGGCAAACACAGATGAACAAGGAGGTCCTCTGATGGTCTCTCATCCCTTTCAGGGCTGGCTGTCTACCAGAGATATTCTTCACTAGAAAGCCAGAACTCTGCAGAAGTAATCAATTGCATTCCAGCACAAGCCTCCTCTCTCACACAGAACAAGTTTACTGCTTTTACACTAAACAGATGAGTCTTAGCTCATTAATCTGTGGGTCACAGAATTCCCTAGTTGGGGCCATGTGGCTGCTGGCCTGGGCTGTCAAGAGCTCCCTGCATCTGTTTGGCTTAACGGTTAAATACAGGCCACATTTTCCTTTAGGCCAAGAAAAGAGGCTCTGTGAATGTGCTGAACTAGCAAGTTGACAGGAAGCCTTAGCCACAATCAGAGCAAATTCCAGCTCCTCGGGGTTGTAAGTGTGTCATGATGGATACACTGCATAGGCCACAACTAAGTCTGGATGGTGAGCAGGGAAAGTCCTCCCAAGCTGAGAGGCCCATGCCTGGGCACAGCCTCCAAAGACGTTGATGCCAGGAAGCAAGGCGCCACCTGACCCAAGAGATTCAGAGGTAGCAAAACACTAGGAAACAAGTGGGGAATGGTGGAAAGCGGTTGTAACTCCTGACAGTCATGGAATACCACTGTGCTCTTCAGACAACTCAGAGAAGTATGGGGAGATCACTCTGAACTGACACGTAGCAAAGAAAGAAAAGCTACAACGACAACAAAAACGAAAAGTAAGCCAACCCTCAAAAGAGCCTGACTCAGACCAAGGCAATGACCAAGCTGGCCTCCAGAGGACCAATGCTGAACCATGTCTCTCTTCTCATTAAATAGATGGCAGACGACTACAGGTACAGAAGGAGACATGTCCACATGCTTTCGAGACATGGGTACTGAAGTGTCTGTTTGGTTTGCTTAATTCGACTTCCTTATTGCCAGGGAGGGTACTGCAAGGAGGTGTATTCAGAAATAACAACAATCTCGAAAACAAAAACCACAAGTGATGGTGCTCTCTCTCATTTGGGAGCCACACAACTGCCCCCAGTACAGATAACACTGGCAGTACCAGGCTTGAACATGGGCTTGGAAGTGGCATCTCTGGGCTGCCTCAACCATCAAAGATTTCAGGGAGACATGACAAACAAGAGCACACTTGTAACTGAGGGGAGCCTCATTACTCAGCTAGTGATAGACACAAACCCCGACTTGTCATCTTCACAAACTCAGTGGGGGCAGAGCCTTTAGGCAAAGAAGAAACGTTGCCAAGAACTTCACTTTTCCTGTGTCCCACAGGCTGTCTGGCACCAGATGGTTAGCTCAGCACACAGTCAGCTGCCTTTCAGATGGACTGACCAAGTCAAAGAAACTGGCAAAAGTGTTACTGAATCCTGCTGCTATTTCACCTGGGCAAGGGTTTTCTGGGCTGCTACAGGAAAACATCAGATTGACATTTTCAAAGAGAGACTATGCCGCCTTGTGACTGTCTGACATTTACAAAATAAAAGAACTTCCGAAAGCTAGAATCTGAAGTCCAAAATCCTGAGTAACAGCCCTAAGAAGGGTTTGGTACAATGGTGGATCTTCCCTTTTCCTTTTGGTATGCTGGGAGATGGAATGGCACCCAGGATCTGCTCATCACTGAGTGGAGGGAGGGAGGGAGTGTGAGAGAGAGAGAGAGAGAGAGAGAGAGAGAGAGAGAG